TTGCTGGTCACCTGGCCATATTGGGTAGTCTGCTTTAGGGTCCTTTTAGGGTGCCTTCTAGGGATAGTTCTCAAATAATTATCTAAATTAGGGTCCTTTTAGGGTGCCGGTAATGAACAGTTCTCTGAATCACGGTCCTTTTAGGGTCTTTTTTTAGGTTAAGGGTGTAAGGTCCTTTTTTATGCGGGTGCCAGAAAAAAACTGGGGACCTGACATGTCGAGGCTCCGACGGGTTTAGGCTTCGGGGGTTTGGGGTCTTGGACATCGGGTTTGGGGGGGGCTTAGGGTTTTGGGCTTAACTTAGGCATGCATCATCATCCGAAGCCCTAAACCCTAAACCCTAAACCCTGAAGCTCAGCAACAGCCTCACCTAGCTTGTGGAGGCTCGGGGGTCTTGAACCTCGTTGAGTCCAACAGCCCATGCAAACCCTGAAAACGGTACTACGCTTAATCGCCTGAACCCGAATACCCTAAACCCTGAAACCCTAAACCCTGGAACCCTGAACCCTAACCTTGAACAGTAAACCCTGAACCCTAAACCCTGAACCCTAAACCCTAACACCCTAACACCCTAAAACCCTAAACCCTAAACCCTGAACCCGGAACCCTAAACCCTGGCCCCTTATCAACACACACAGAAAAGCAGCCGGAACGGTCGGCCTTGGGCCCTTGCGATGCGAAGCATCGGCTCTGGGCGCCCTGTGCGTAGGTTTAGGGTTTATGAGTTACGGGTTTAGGGTTTAGGGTTTAGGGTAGGGTTTGGTTTAGGGTTTAGGGTTTATAGGGTTTAGGGTTTAGGGTTTAGGGTTTAGGGTTTAGGGTTTAGGGTTCTTGGGCTCCTGGGCTCTTGGGCTCCTTCTAAGGGTTCCCCTTATAGGCTTGGGGGGAGGGGGGGTTAGGATTTAGGGGTTTAACCCTCAACCCTGAACTTAAGAAAGTGTAATCTAGGGGCCTTAATAATTAGAATACGGTTTTGGGGCCCATTATACTGTAACTATAGTAACACCCCCACCAAGATAGTATTGGTAATTATTTAGGCGCCTATAAAACCCTAAACCCTAAACTCTAAACCCTAAACCCTACTCTAAACCCTAAACTCCAGTTCCTAAACCCTAAACCCTAAACTCTAAACCCTAAACCCTAAACTCTAAACCCTAAACCCTAAACCCCAAACCTTATATTCCCCTGCCCGAGGCCGCGGCCAGAGCCCAAGATCTTCTTGCGGCGAGCATCGCCATCCTTCGAACCTTTGGTTTCCAGCTTCACTGTTTTGCGGCTGATGGTAGGGTTTAGGATTTAGGGTTTAGGGTTTAGCATTACACATAATCAGGAATGCACCACAATTCCCATAGTTTAGGAGGGTCATAAAGGGTAATGCAGGATGGATATCATCCACAGTAGGGCTTCTAGGGTCTTCAGGGCTTACGGCTTGCGGGTTTGGTCTTCTTCTTGTCTAACACCCTAAACCCTAAACCCTTAAGGTTTAGGGTTTAGGGTTTAAAAGGTGTGGGGATTGGGGGCTCAGGGCTCCGTAGGGTTCAGGATGGGCTGTTTAGGCTCATGGGAATTTGGGGAGGTAGGGGTCTATAGAGTTGCAGGAGCTGGGTCGGTCCCGGGAATGTTGTACGTAAATATTGTTCTCAATGCCTGACCCGGAAGAGCCTTCATCTTTGGGGGCTCCTTCTTAAGTTTTTGTTGTTATACGAGTCCTTAGAATGGTGGGCTGTCTGGGCTCCATACATGGACTGCAGGAAAAGCTTCGAGAGTCAAACAACATAAAACCCTGTTTCAACCGTGGGAAAACTCTACGACACCCCAGCCCCAAACTCCCAAAGCCCTAAACCCTAAACTCTAAACCCTAAACCCTAAACCCTAAACCCCAAACTCCCAAAGCCCTAGACCCCAAGAAGCCAAGCCTGTGAAAATTAACTCCAGAAGCCCTACACTTCCGGTTGATGATATAAATCCGGTTTAGGGTTTACGGTTTAGGGTTTAGGGCGCATTCCCCATAGTAGGGACTATACCACAAGTCCCATAGTTTAGGGTCCTTAAGGTAATGCAGGATTTATATCATCAACCTTAGTCCGGAGAGCTAAACCCTAAACCTGTAGATGGTTTCTTCCATCAG